ATCTGCATCTTGCCTTCCTAAGCAGGTTGGCTTTCCTCTGAAAATCTAGCATCTTCCTTCCTTTCCCCTAGATACATTGGAGCATTTTTGGGTCATAGGGTGAAATAGTCTCCAGCTCTCTGAGATATTTCAAGATTTCCCATAGTTCCAGGGAGTTTCTTTCTCTCTCTCTCTCTCTTTTTTTTTTTTCTCACTTCAGTAATCCTTAAAGACTGTGAACTTTGAATTTCCTGCTTCCTTGAAATCTCATTATCAATCTATTCATGTTTACATTTTGGAACACTGCAACAAAAGCGAACTCAGTCAACTTTGTTATTGGAAGACAGTTCACTCCATTAGCCCTGGAAGTAAGGGAATCTTGTTTCTCTGAAACAGATGTTAAATCTCCCTGTTTCCTCAGCCATTCACCTCTGCAACAAGTGCTGGGGAGGACAGAGACTGCAGTGAGCTACAGGCTGTAGGTTACCCTATATTTACTTATTTATTTATTTATTTATTTATTTATTTATTTATTTATTTATTTATTTATCTTTTTGAGACAGGTTCTCACTTTGTAGCCCAGGCTGGTCTAGAACTCACAATGATCCTCCCGTCTCAGCCTCCTAAGGGAAAAAGCTAGGAACTGGGTAGACTGTGGAAGATGTGTCTTTGCCTCAGCCTTGTCACTGTCAGCTGTTGTGTGCAAACATCTTGTTACAAAACCTGGTGTGTTAATCAGGCTTTTGTTTCTGCAGCAAAATACCTAAGCAAATCAATGTATAAAGATGAAAGGTTTGGAAAGGTTTGTGGGATATAGCTTTGGACATATGAGGTTTGTGGCTCATAGCTTTGGAGATTTTAGTCCAAGACAGATTGACTCTTTTGTTCTGGACCTGTAGCAGTGCATCATGGTGGGAGTGTGGGGGGAGCAAAGCTGCTCATCTCATGACTATGATGTGAAAGAAAGAGGAAGGAGCTGGGGTCCTGTGATCCCTTTTAAGGGCAACTCCCAGCTCTCACTAGGCCCCACCTTTTAAAAGTATCTACTATCTCCCAGGAGCACTCTCTAGGAGCATTTAACATGTGAGTCTTTGTGGGACATTAAGATTCTAGGAGCAGCTGGGCATGATGGTGTACCCTTGTAATCCCAACATTTTGAGAGATTGAGGCAGGAGGATCTCAAGTTTGAATTCAACCTGGACAACTTAGCAAATTAGTCAGACCTTATCTCAGAATAAAAAATTAAAAAAATAAAGAGCTAAGTTTACGCTCAATGCAAAGGCCCTGTATTCAATGTTCAGTATCCCCCTCCCCAAAATATCTAAACCATAGCACCTGGACCCTGAACTCACTTCAGTGAAAAAGTCTATGATCTCTGACAGCTGCTGATGAATGGCTAGTCTCACTAATGTGTCACCAGTGGCCAGGTTATGAAGCTACTAGCACAATCAAAATAGGGACAACTGGGAGTTATTGGGACAGCAATGTCCGCTTGCATACAGCAAGCCAAGGAAAATATTCTGAATTAGTAGACATCCTTTCAGATCAACAGCATCTTTATCTCTGGTTTGGAGGTACACACATCTTTTGCAGCAAAGCAAAGAGGGCATCTAACTCAAGCTTGTGAAACCCCAAAATAGCCATGGGGTAAAGGAAATGCAGCATTAGCCTTGCAGTTGGTGGGCTGCTGAGTGGGTATATTTGACCTGAAATACAGCAAGTCGTATTTTTACTATTATTTACTACATTTTTTATTTCTTTTAAAAGATGATTATAAGCAGAAATGAGGAGGCAAGTACCGAACTGTTTGGAAATACTCTTAGATCTTTCTGTGGACCTCTGCACTGTCCAGTACAATTGCCTCTAGCCCTATGCACCTACTCAAATTTAAATAAATAAAATTATATTAAAATAGAATTCAGCTCATCTGTCACACTTGGCCATGCTTTAAATGTTCAACAAGTACACGTACTGGTGGTTACTACACTAGACAGGGTAGACGGGGCCACTGCACTCAGAGTACAATGTTGTAAGTGCAGCTCCAGAATTTCTTGAGTCCCTTGCAAATATTATATAGCTATTTTATTTCTCAAAGCTTTCCTGTCTTGTTAGGACTTTTTCACCTATGAAGTTGAGCTAGTACACTTTCCTTCACAGGACTCCTGAAATTTAAATGAAACATTAATTGCCTTAGAGTGTACATCTTATTCCCTGGCACATTATGGACAATGTATACAAGTGGTTTGATTGCAGCTGTCAACAGGTTCATTCATTCTCTGACCAAACAAGTCTGTATTTTAAAAGTACCTAGAACCAGGAATAGAGATGGCTTAGTGGTAGACCATTTGCCTACCATGTGCAAGGCCCTGGGGTCAACCTCCATCACTGAAAACTAAACTAAAAAGACTAAAAAGACAACAACAAAAACAACAACTAAAGAACTAAAGACAGCAACAAAAACCTATCCATAACCCACATAGCTTTCTGAAACAATTGGAATCAGACTATTTTTATGGGAGTTAAATCACTCATCATGATTGGTGAATGCCTTTTTCAGAACCAGGCCAAGATCATATTTTCAAGGCCAGCCTGGGCTACACAGCAAGTTTAAAGCCAGTGTAAGATATACACATACTAGCCCCACCCCCAATCATTGGTCTTAAGAAAAGTCTCTTCCTTTCTAAGCTCTTTTGTGTCTTAATAGAAAAGAAGGAAATGAGAATCCCCCATGAGTAGTAACTGTTCTAGCCCTGACATGCCCTCTTCCCTTTTTTAAAGTCCTATCAGATTTAAAAAAAAAAAAAATCTCTGCAAAGAGGTGTTATGCTGTAGGTGTCAGCATAGCCTTGGGTCCAGACAGGCAAACTGGCTGCTCCTGTGGGAACTGTGTATATACACCATGGGTAATTACTTTGGGTTACAGCTGCTAACATGATTTTGCAAACTCCCTGCCTGCAAAAGACTGATCATCCGCTCAAGAATGGGCCTGAACTTACTGCCACTGTGCACCTTGCAGACCTACCTGAGCTTCTCCTGCCACAGGCTCTTTAGGTCTGTCATAATTTGCATTCCTTAGGCAAATGGAATAAGTGGAATTTAAATGTGTTAGGCAACTTTCATCCTGATAGAACACCAAGATGACATGCATGCCATGATCTCACTATTTAGGATTTCTGCTTTCAAATCATTAATGTATGCTTCAACAGGCAGGTGAGTTATAGCAGCTGGGCTCAGTTCTGCTTAGTTTTCACTAAGGCTTCTTCCTAGTTGCACAGCCCTTGCTTTCTGCAGCACCATCATATATCTTAGTGGGACTTGATAATATTCTGGTGTGGTGGAAAGACACTGAGGCATTGCAGTCAGAAGACCAGAATTATGGTGCTGGGCTACAAGATAAGTTGATGTTCCCTTGTACCCACAAAGAAATGTCGGATCGGAGGGTTACAGTGAGACATGTTAGTTGGTCTGTGCCTGCCAGTGGAGAGAATGATGATGCCCTTCTAGGTTTTACAAGGATAAAGGGAGTCTTTGTATATTTGAAGTCATTTATTCAATTTACTGGAAAGAACTACAAATTATTTCACTAGCGACCCTAAATGACGCTTTTGCCTCATAATTTGTCTTGACTTATTTAATTTTTCCTTAATTAACTCAGTAATGAGATGACAGAATAACAAGTGGCTGTTTTGATCTCCAGTAATACCTATAGAACTGCATTTTCATAGCTCTTCTGATACATAAGCCACAGTGAATTGGTTCTGAGAGCTTTGCCTCCTTTTGAGGAAGTGATTAGTAAAGGCTAGGTGGCCTGGGGTAGTGGACTTCAACTAGAATCACAGTTCTACTTTGTTTGGATGTGAGGACTTTGGTTTGTCACTAACTCTGTAGACAATCTTCTGGCCATAAAATGGTGAAAAGAACCATGCTTCAGGCTTAAATGTGTACAAAAAGTTAATAAAAGCTGTGTAAAAACACAGGAATGTGGCTATGAAATCCCACACCAGCTCTCTGCATGTCCACCCAGTAAGTCTGGAAAGCACCAGTTTTGGATCATTAGCTTCCTCAGGTTTTCTCTGGATTTTACTTTTCAAAAATCTCACTTGTCTCCGCAGCCCTGAAACAAAAAGAAACTCTTACTGAAGATGCTGCTGATGGTACCAATTTATTCATTTACAAATTGCTAGGTAGGATGCTTTGTGTGACAACTGCCTTGAGCTTTGTCCAGTGAAGACCTTATCTCTCTGTCGTGAGGGGCCAAGAACCTGTCCTTGCTGACTACATCACATGCATCATCATTTGTACGTTAGTAATCTGTGAGGGAAGACTTCAGTGCAGAAGAACTCACTAAGTGTATTGATGGTGGGTCAAAAGCAATCGGAAACCACAGTGAGTGCCTATCAGATGATCTACTCTATCCTGAGAGTGATATGTGTACAAACTGTGAGTAATTTAGGCTTTCAAGGTTCTCTGGGCAAGTAAAAGATGGGTTATTCTGGCCTAAGACTTTTTGATCTGCATTTTAAAGAGTTCTGAAGAAACCAGGGCTGGAGGCAGAGCTTAAAAAAATAACCGCATGCCTTTGGCACATGTGTATCTTTAAAAATTATGAGGTTGGGTTGTTCCCACCTTTCTACTCCAAAAAAAGTGTGGAAATAAAACCTCGTCCAACGTGGCTATCCCAGGGCTCATAAGGTGATACTGGTTAAAATCCCATTAGGGAGCGGCTGTGGGCGTGGTTCAGTGCCCCGTGCTTGCCTAGCACGCGTGACCTGGGCTTGATCTCCAGCACAACCATCAAAAAGCAAAATAAAACGAAACCACCCCAAAGAACTGTTTTAATTTAGAATTAGTATGCATGCTATCACTGCCCTGTTTTCAGTTTCAACTACAGGATCTCAGAGATTTAACGATTTCCAACCTGTGTGATCTCAAGTGGGGCAGCGAGGAGCCAAAGTGAGCCCGAAGGCACTATGGCAACCTACATTCTCTCCCCTTGAAATAACAGTAGCTAATGCAACCAGTTCACTTCAGCAAATAATAAATTTATTAGGTGCTTCCAAGTACAAAACATTGACAGCTGCTGTAGGGGATTATAAAGACATGTAGGGGATGCGCCGCCTGCCCTCAAAGAGCTTACAATCTAGGCAGTTAGTCACAGGGGTAAGTCGTGATGATACAGCACAGTAGGTGACATCAACTGAGTTTTTGAAAATGTTCCCAGCCTTTGAATTCTTTTCTTGTCAAAGATGTACAGCATTCTTACAACTGGGAAGCTAAGCAGTGGGAAAGAGACTTTTTGTGGAATGAATCTGAGACCTCGGCTTTGCTTACCAGCATCTTTGCTTTGCCTCTGCTTATTCTCAGAACTTTCTCAGCATGATTCCCTAACAGGACCTTTGTTTGGAGACAGTCTCGCTTCCTGAACCTTCACCAGGATTTCCTGTTTTGATGAGTGGCTCAGTGGTAGTTTGGCCTTGGAATGATTCACGATCCAATTTTTTCTTCAGTAAATCTTTTGATTTCAGTTGATGCTTATGTTCCTACACTTTGCAATCTGTGCTTCTAAGAGGTGGAAGTAAGATGCAATACAAAGGAAAGCAGGCCAGACTCTTTTCCCTTATGTTAAACATTTAATAGTGCACTTACTGGTTATACTCTGTACAGATATAGAGCAAATTATAAACTTCTTCCTCTTATTTATTTTTTCACTTAGACTATATTCATGTAAAGTGTATTTACAATAAAGGAGAAAAAAGCCTTGAGGTACAAAACCCAAAAGAATATCTGAGGTATAAATACAAATATATTTTAAATAATAATCTTTATCATGCTTTATCTATGTCTGAAAGCAGAGTGGACAGACATGTGTACATGTTTCTTAATAGAATGGTATATACAACATACAATCTTACAAATCTGGAAGCCATCAAAATTGAATATATAAGTGTATCTTCACAAGGAACACTGATATCCAAAATACTCAAATTTTAAAACTCTAGTCTGACCCCCCAAATTCTTCAAAGAACCTCTGAAATAACACTGACAATGGTAACTAAAATACATTATAACAAAATAAAAATCCTTCTTACAACTCTCATTCATACATATTATTCACTTCTGATCCATACAAAATAAATTTACTAATACTGTCTCAAGTCAACCTTGCCCATTCCAGTAAAACCTGTATAAAGACCACCCTTCCAAAACACTGAGCTATTTTCTTTCAGTACGATTACTACTTCCCTTTATTACTAACATATATTTCAAGGGCATTATGAAGGAAAATAAAAAGAGATATAGAGAAAACAAAATAAAAAGTCTAGAAAATCTGTTTGCTGATAAGGATGGACCCCAATTAATAAATATGTGCAGTTTGCAGGAATGCTGTTAACAGCTACCAAAAAAAAAAGGCCAGGCTTAAATTAAATTTACAGAGATTTCACTGGGAGAGAGTTTCCTACGTTCTTATGCATAATGTGCATAGTGTCTTAAAGAGCTTATGCTATAAACATGAAAATACAAGAATTTCAACAGATGGAAGATTTTGCTGTTTAATTCAGGAATAAATTTTTGAGTGTTTAGTTTTTACTATTCATTTAAAAACAAAACCTATACTTTGGAGCCAGTAATGATGGAGAGGAGGGCATTCATCTCTGAACTAGTCTTTACTGGCTAACGCTACATCTCAATTGCTGCAACCAAGTCTAGAAACAAACTGCATTTGAAATAAGTATCAAAATAATGTACAATTGTTTTTTAAGGGAGAGAAGAGGTTGACGGAGAAAGAATGTGCTTAACAACCTGGAAAAAAATAAATGGACAGGGGTGTCGGGTCCTTTCTGAATGAATCCATGGGTAGTCAGATAGTCCAGGTTAAACTGAGCCTGGTGCATCAACATGCTTCCCAGAGGCATCTCAGTGTGCCAGACACTGCATTCCAACTTACACATCTATGCCATTCAACCCGTGACAAACACACATTCACACTCCTCTGTGCAAACCTTTCTTTGCTCATCTCAGTGAGAAAACATGTCAGAGTACCAACTATTCCAGTGGATACACCAGTCCCGCAACACACTGCAAATACATGACATAGGTACACATACACTGATATCACAACAAAATGAAGTATCTTCATTATCTTCCATAATGTTTTTAGAGTTTTGCTTCTCAGAAGCAATTTGAATAAGAATACAAGTACATTTCTCTTTTGCACAGTCTTATATATTCCAGTCAAGGTCTAGAACTTAGACCTAAAACAAACAGGAAGCAGCTTTAAAAATGTATCAAATGGCTAGAGTCAATTTCTACACTCCAACTTGGATTTATTTCAGGATCAGACACAGACCGATTTTTCCAAGGACTGGCAAGGTTCTAGGACATCACCCAGGTGGATACAGATGCTTTGCCTCAGTAATCACCTAGATTTGCTGTCCTTGGTTTCACTGTTCTGATTACTGAAGGAGTCTCGGATCTTTACCACTTCGGCTGCACACAAATGTCCAAAGGATTTGGTGTACCACTCTGGCATGTGGCCCCTATTGGAGAAAGAAAAAAAAAATGGTGATTTATTTAAGCTAGAGAACGCTGAAGTAAAGGTGAAAGCAATCATGAATACATCCCATTTCTCTCTCTCTCCCTCTCCCTCTTTGGTGCTGGGGCTTGGACTCAGGGCCTTGCGCATGCTACAGAAGTGCTGTACCACAGAGCTACACCCCCAAGGCTCCCCTTCCATTTTTTTTTTTCTTTTGGTTTTTCTCTGGTACCGGGAACCGAACTCATGACCTTGCGCTTGCCAGGCAGGTGCTTTTGCCGCTGAGCTAAATCCCCAGCCCCCTCCCCTTCCATTTTTTGATGAAGACAATGTAAAAGTAAAGGTTATTAATTTATCTCCAAGTGATCTTCTGTCATGTCCATTGTATTTGAAACTAGAAATTTCCAAGGAACCACATATTGGTCATAGATATTGGATGAAACTGCTCCATAAAGGCTTGGGCTTAAGCCATAGAAACAGATCACATGGATATGTGAAGAGCTAGTGAGATGGGAAGATTTCAAAAAAAACTCATTTAACATGGGAGACAGTTTCTAGAGTTTTCAAAAATTCAACTTTTTTGACTTTATTGCTGCTTTCTACTCATTTTCTGATATAAATATATGTTCATTCACAGCATGGGACATAGGCCTAATCAATTACTAAAACTTCACTCCACACTATTCAAACACTTTTGAATAAAATGAGAAACATCTGCTTGCTAGTTCGAATGCAGAAAATACAACATCCTGTGGCATTTAAATTCAGGATAGAACCACCAAATTTGCATTGGTTTAGTACCAATTTTTCTAAAGAATCTAGGTTAGGCAGTGGTCCACAAAGACCAGCATACATAAAGGAGTTGCTTTAGCAGCACCGCTCTTAGTGAAGCCACCAAGATACAGTGACATGTTTGTGTAAGTCATTCTTTGCACCACACAGAAAGTGTGAATCTTTTTCATGGGACCTCTCTATCAAAAATTTAGAATCAGAACTTACCTTAAATCAGCTCTGCACATGTAGGTGAGTTTGGATTTTCCTGACCCGCAGGGTTCAATCAAATACCTGGACAGGAGCACATTAACCCTCACACCCACCACAGGGGCCCGGTCGTGATCCACGGAGGTGAGTAAAAGCGCACATGCTCCTTTGGGTAGATTAGTCCTCCAGGTTCTGTGGAGACAAAACCAGAGGCAGACGGTGGGATTTCTTTGCAAACTGAAAATAACACCTTATCAGAAGAGACAGTTAAGGGCCAGGCTCCGTGCCATGTGTAACCCATACTGGGTAAATGGCATCCTCTGGACCACCACATACAGATTTCAGGATGAATTGCTCCATACAGAGTCCCTTCTATTGAGGGCATACATGCTCTGACAGTCATCTCTTGGAAAAGAAAACTGTTATGATTTGGATCTAAAATGTCTCCCAAAGGCTGATGTGTTCAGAGGTTGGGCTTCTGGAAGGTGATTGGCTCATGAGGGCTCTAACACCATCAGTGGATTAATTCACTGATAGATTCATTATTTGTTGGCATTAGTAGGTCATGAGATGTGACAGAAATAGGAGATAGGGCCAAGCTAAAGGGCATACGGGTATGTCTTTAGGGACTATATATGATCTATTTCTCTCTCCCTATTTCCTGGCTGACATAAAGTGATCAGTCTCCTCCTTCATATGATCCTGCCATCATGTTCTGCTTTATATAAGGCTCAAAGTAATGGAGCCAGTAGGCCATGGACTGAAACCTCTGAAACTATGCACCAAAGTAAACCTTTCCTCCTTAAGTTGTTTCTTCAGGTACTTTGCCCCAGTGACAGAAAGCCGCCAAACACAAGAACCAATCTGAAGTGTTGCTAAAAAACCATTGTGACATTTCATGAATGTCTTAGAACATGGATATCCAAACAAACACTGCTCTGTTTGAAACATTGTGGATAAACTATATGACATTCCCTCAAATATTTTTGGAATTCCTCTTTCAATAATGTCTCCAGAGATTTTATGAATCCCAAATAAATCAGCATTAACCACATCTTGCTTGGGACCCAAATGTCATTTCCTGGTTTATTCATTCACTAGCTATTTCTAACCAAAAAATCTATCCTAAAAGGGACAAAAATCTGCTACAAAAGAGCGTCTTAATTTCAGTATGTCCCTCTTTCTGAGATCACTTCCAAAAGAGTTCCAAGCATTTTCAGTGATGAATACCCTCTTGGCATAAATACAGATCTGTTTTCTGTATCTGGAAGGGCTCACACATTTCTAGAGGCCTATGTTTCATTGTAAGTAACCATCTTATAAGAGTCAGTGATTACAGGCTCAGTTCTGATACTTAGCCATTTGTGCACAATAATCAATTTGGAAGATCTCACCTCAATACCACGTAGTCCCGAGCAGGGTGGGGCGCCATACTGTTTTGGACATACTGGTAGATTTCAGTCTGGCTGTCCAGCGTTTCAATCACTTTTGAATCCAATAGGTCTACGTCCCAGAGGTGCTGCTCTTTCAGTAGGCGCTTTAAGATTTCCTCAGGCATAGCAGGAACTTCAATGGTGGATCTCCAGAGCCTTAGAGGAGGCCCTTCACTCACCTATAAAGATGAAGCATTTCTCAGTGTGCAGATAAGACACACACATCTTGACTTATGAAGACAAATTATGGGTGGGGACACGGTCCTGTTTTCAGAGATTAATACATTTATGAAGGTAATAAGCTGCCTTAAATACATTCAGAAGTAGGCCAGGAAGCAAACAAAATAGCTAGAGTCCACTCTGGTTAAAACCATGACATTTGTTTTCATAGTGGGTGAATGTGATAGAGTACGATTATTCATTTATTTTCAACCCAGTACTCATATAGCCATACAGATCATTCTATTTGTTTTCAAGGTGACAGAGAAATAGTTTTATTAAATACCTCTATGGACCCATTATGCTGAGCCACATAGCACACCCAAAGCAGAGTATTTAAGAAAAGACAGGCATGTAAAGGGATTCTCACCAAAATTTGTGAAAATTTAAGCATGTCCTAAAATGCCTTTTTAAAGGCTTTAGTAAAACATTCCAAGAAACTCTAGTTTCATTCTGCAGAAACAAAGGATTTCATTAGAAGTAGACTGAAATCTTCTTAAGTGTTAATGAGTATTACTTCTCATGGGACTGGTTACCTGGGAATCTGAATCACATGCCTGCCCAGTTCTCTAAGGATGGGCCTGGGCTACAGATTCCCATGGAATCTTCTCTCTCATGAACCCAAGTCCTGAGCACAGGCATGCAAATGTGGTCAACAGCAAGGGACTTACCTTCTTATAGGACAGCTCGGCCTGCTCAGAAGTAGAGTAGTTGACCCAGCCTTTAAATTTCTCTTTCACTTCCTTGAATAGGCCGTCCACACAGTCCTGGAGGAAGTGTTTGTAGTCAGCAGACTGGTTGTTGCTCAGGTGTCCCAATGCCTCCAGGGTGAGGGGCTTTAGCTCCTGTTCTGTGTAGGAATTGCGACATCGGCTCATTTCTTCAGGCACCTGGGAGAGACACAAAGGCGGTGGGTAAGTCTACCTGTGTCTATTTTCAGTGTCCATCAGTGGGCAGAAGTGATGGCCTGGATCCTCAAAGTGGTACAGGCAGGTGAACCTCTGTATTCAACAATGGTGGTGGGAGGGGGATCCCCACTGACTTCACATGGCTTATGAAGATACAGACAGATCAGTTTCACAAAACATGCCTAAGACACTTATTTTTATGTCAGGCCTTCTTCTTTGCAAAGTTAGAGTAGGAGGGTAAGTAACTAAAACAGGGATTACATTGATCAAAGCATGTGTCTCAGATATAGAATTTTAGTGCCAAGTAATTTGTTACTTTTTCTTTTCAAAGAAGTATGGGCTAGTCAATTTCATTACCATTACTGACTTGAACGACTGTATACATAAATATGTATGAATAAGACATTTTCAAGCTATATATATAGTCTCCAGCCATAAAAAAGACTTTTTGTTAAGACATGAACAAGTATTAAGGCTACAATCTTGTCTCATTCACAATAACCTGCCCATAGGAGCTAAACTTCCCCGCTCCTTACCTGGAAAAGCTTCTTGCACTCTGCAATCATATGGGCCAGCCCTTGAGTGGCAGCTAGGTTTTCATTCAAGTCTTTCTGATCTGGTTTGCCCAAACTCTGTTTTCTTTGCATTACCCTACATAGAAGAAATAAAGGAGGGGAATGAGTCAAATATGTACGTACTTTTCATCAGCGTAAAACTCATGAAACTCCCAGGGGAGAAAAAACATTTCCCTGGGGCCTATTTGTTGTTAAGCGGTTTAAGAGAGCTTTTATTTTGTTCACCAGAGTGTCTCGGTTTTATCAAGACACACACACACACACACACACACACACCACTGAACAGACATATTTTTAATGAAATCCAGGCTAATGAAAGCCATTTGATTAAATAGGTTCCTGTCTCACAGCTTGTAAGGACTGTGCCTCTGTGTGTTGAGGAATAAGGAGACTTCTGAAGGGTGCGGGGTGGGGACGCTGGGAGTTTCCAGTCCCTCTTCTGACTATTTAAATAAACAGGATCCCCTTCCACAGGTGAGGGATACATCTATTGTTTCCTGGAGGTGGTGTCTTATTCTTATCTCTTACTCATCTCTGGTTCTCAATCCCATTAAAGGTGGAATGCCTCAGCAAACTTTTAGAACTAGATAAAAGGGTATTTAAAGAGTTGTAGGCTTTCAGGAACAAAGCAAACTTCACCCAACATAATTGGGCCTTAGTTTCCTTCAGATCTGAGAGAAAGATCAGCTGGAGGATTTAATATGGGGGTCAGTCCAGTTCTTCATTGCTTCCTGTTACACTTCAATAGAAGTTCCTTACATGAAATAGTCACATAAATTAGAAGGTCAGATTGGCTCTATTTCTTCCTATCAGATAGAGACAAGTTACTTACGGAGCTGATCTTCCCCTGTACCTCACTTTCTCGCTATGGATACCAGATACTCAAGTTCTTCACCTGCTGATTGTTATGATGATTAAGTGAAAAGTCCAATGTGAGACCCAGAAGGTGCCTACTAATATCATCTCTGTTATTTTTCAGATCCTTGGCTTTCTCCACAGCCTCTCCCATTTGTACACACGTATTCTAGGCAGAACTTTTATAATACTATTGGCTTAGGCCAGATCCCGAGTAGGAGAGACCTTGAAGCTCAGCATCATCTTCTGTTCTTTAAGGCCTGGTTGTTCTGGCGTGGGGCACAGGCTAGGAAGTTTGGCTTACTGACCATGCAGAGGCAAAGACAACAGGGATCATCCACCCAGGTTTTTAGACTAGTAAATCCGCATGGGTCTTTGCTGGCAGAAGGTATAGTTACATTTATCATTCGCCTCAGAGTAAACACTGGCCATGTCAAAGCACCAGCCAGTGTTTTATCTCAACATCCACTTGTTAAGGGATTGCTAGAAATATTAAGGTACAATTTCTAGAAAGTACTGACAGGAAAGGAACCAAAGTGTAGGGCAGCCCCACACTGGGAATGAAGGAGGTCTCAGTTTCACTTGATTTGGGTAAGAAGCCAACGAGAATACAGTGGCAGCTCCAGTAGATGCCTCAGTTTGAAGAACAGAGCATGTGCCACCTGGCGTCTGACCTGTACCTGGGAGAGGAATGCTCTCTCTTCAGGGTGTTGAGGTGGAAGAGGGAAGGCGCCAAGCACACAGCCAGGTTGGTGGGAGTCATCTGGTTATCCTTCACAGCTGCTGTGACGTCGCTCAGGAAGTACAGGAGTGTCTGGAGTACCTCACGGTTCTCATCAGGCAGGAGCATGATGGCGGCTTTGATAGCCTGGAGGCGCTGGTCCTTGGGAACATCTGTAGGGCACAAGCAGCCGCATCGGCTCAGTGATTTTCCATGTATATGGCAGGGAAACACCTCAAAGCAAATATCAGTATCAAATATGGAATGAGCGGGGCTAGGGATACAGCTCAGTGGCATAAGCACCTGCCTGGCAAGCGCAAGGTCGTGAGTTCCATCCCTGGGACTGCAAAAAAAAAAAACCCTCAAAACATTTGGGGGCTGGGGATTTAGCTCAGCAGCACAGCGCCTGCCTGGCAAGTGCAAGGTCGTGAGTTCAATTCCCGGTACCAGAAAAAAACCAAAAAAAAAAAAAAAAAATGGAATGAGCATTTCCAAAGAGCTTAGTAGAGGTTAATAAGGAAAAAATTATGGACCGCCACCAGCATTCCTACCCTCAAGTATTTCCTGCCTCTTGGAAGAGTTAAGAAATTTCAAACACTCAAAATACCAATCCACTCCTAAATCCACCTCAGACCTTAGCTCCAGATGATTCCTGCACTTTTACTTTACAGAACAAAAGCCTCTTAAGCCCATTTTAAAAAATCTATAATGTACAATCACAGTTATTGAAATCATTATAAGATTAGCCTCTAGTTTCAATGAAAAGTCTTATACCTATACACAAGAGGACAAGAACTCAGATCTCTTAGTCTTGCTTTTAATTAGAGGTTCACTATTTTGGGAACGTTCCGAATTTTAACTGAGTTGTTCATTCTTGAAATGGGAGACCTTGTTAGACTATTCAGTCAATTTAAACAACAGATTGCTTTGCCTAGTAATTTCTTAAGTTTAGACACCACACCAAGACATGATTATAGAAAGCATATAATTATGCATAGACATAAAAGGCAAGTAAACCTATACAATGATCTATATTAGGAAGCGCTGAACCCAACTTTTGGATTTCCTTTACTAGACAAACCTTTTAAAAAGTAAGTAGTGGAAAAAATAATCAAGTCACTCAAATGCAGTGCCACAGGACACACTGATTAAACAGCTCCATGGTTACAATACATAACAAATACCTTGGCGGGGAAAATGTGAGCCATGTTTTCATAAAATATGAAAAGATGAAACAAATAATGAAATAATCCAGACCAGCTTCATTTCTCATAAAATGAAGCCCAACATGCCAACGCTGAAGACAATTTCAGCATGAAGAGAAGCTGCTTCTAAATCACATTGCTGTAATAGCTCTCTGAGCCAAGAAAAATACAAGGCTGTAAAAGCTATAATCCCGATCTTGATCATTAATTTCAACAACTGTTTGCTTTAAGCTTTTCTTAAAAGTGAGAAGGACAAGGGTATTGTTTTCTCAAGTATTCCTGGCAGGGATTCTGATGAATAACAGAAAAAGATTATTTATTCATTTTACAGTGAGATGAAACACTCAGACACCTGTGAAATTTTAAATACAACAGGCCTGCTGGTGAGATGTAAAATAATTGAAAGAGAAAGAGGGGGGCAGAGAAACTGATCAATTTTGGTACCTGCTCTTTATCTAAGCATCTCAGATAACACTGTTCTACAAAGAAATAAAAGAAGCTGGATCAGAATGTAAAAATATACAACTGCTTCAGCCATTATAGTCTAACGACAAGGGCAATTTATATTCTCATAATTCAATAAGTATTCAGAAATGTTCCCCACACAGAGGCAAGGAAGATATTGCTGACACGCGCCCAGGAGGTCACCCCTCAGGCCCTCTTGTCAAAATAACATCAAAGGAAGCTACAAGCTTTAGCTGGGCCCATTTTCTCCCAAAGTCAACAATCTTGAGACCAAGGAGCACTCACACTGGTAGATCTGTAGGAAGGTCTCCGAGAGCTTGTTTGTCATCAGTGGTTCCGGAAGATCTCGGAAATACTGCTTCAGCATGTCTGCCACGTCATAAGCAGACTGCCCTTCATAGCTGACACAATCCGCAGCACTCTCGTTCATCTGGCGCAGAGCCTGGATCCGGGATTTGACGCCCGATTTTCTGAAGAGCCCAACCTGTTGGAAAGAAAATATTATGTGTCGGAATGGAAGGAACATCTTCCCCACAGAACAAGGGCAAAAGTACAGAGCTGAGTTCCCACGATTTCCTGGAAGCCACAGGCAGCGGTGCTCACTTGGTCTAGACAGTGGTTGCGGAGGTAGCGCATGGCTTGCTGGATGCTCTGAGGCAGGGGCTGTCCCGTGCGCTGTACATTGATCGTCAGAGGGACCCCGAACACACTCCGGTCCTTGTAGTCTGGAACCTTGATCCTTTTCATGAACTTGGGCACAGCCCTGTTTAAAGAACATAGTGGTGGGGGATGCGTTTATTTGATAATCGATACTCGCCTTCCTCTGCAGATAAGCTTTAGTTTCTGCTCATATGGTAACTACATTTCAATGACATAGTGACCAGTCCAGTTTCTTGCCCTTTCTAGCCACACCTTGAGTGCTCACTGGCCATTTGTAGCCAGTAGATGCTGCATTAGACTGTGGAAATATAGACTATTCCCACCATCACTGACAGTTCTGTTCTAGCTCTTCTAAGGGTGAGGCCCTGTCACATTTCTTTAGCTGGGCATTTTCTTTTACTATTGGCCTGGGAAACTAGAGCCTGTATTCTTAAGGGACCCAATGGGCTTCCTTATACAATGGTGGCACAAGAAAGAACAGAAACAGAAAACATGTAAAGCCCTAATTAAGTACTTTTGATAAGAGTTTGAAAAACAAGATCCAAGGAAGATTACGTAAAAAGATTCAGGTAATGGTGCATGAGAGAACAGCAAATACACGACACTGGTCTAATGTACTAAGAACCAAGTCTAGAGCTGAACAGTGAAGGACCCTGCTGATGATCCTGGTCAATAGAAAATTCTCAGGTTTCTAAGGGAACAAGGAAATGGAACAATGGGGATTTTGTGAGACTAGTCCAGACTCCTTGGAGTCCTGAAACCAGCTCCACCCACAGCAGCATAAGGAACAGCAGGAAGCCCATGTCATACATTTAAGGCTGTCAAGCAGACATCTGAGCTCTACAGATGACCCCTCTGGGTGAGACAAGAAAGGGCAAGGCCAAACAAGACAGAAACTTTGGGCAGAATTTTTCCCTGTAACATGGGTTCCCCACCGTGCCAGGCTTTTACATTTGGTTTTGACTCATTGGAAAAACTGACCAGAACTCAAGAAGTACGAGGGACTTTAAGATTCTTGAGGGTTTGGTGGGAAGGGGGTGGGTAGCTCTTTAGAAAGGAGAATCTAAAATATGCAGTTTTAAATAGCCAGAAGGGAAAATATTACCCTCAAGCACAAAGGAACACTGCAGAAGACCGACTGCCTTGACTGTATTGCTTTCCACCAGCCATGACAGAGCACTGTTTATAGCTCTAGGAAAGGTAAAGCTAAAGAGCAGAGCCAAATCTGTATTTCCATACAGTTAAAGTACACGGTATTATGGCTAGAAGTGTGCATAATACGCGCTTTGTTGGGGCAGAAAAGCTTGGCTGCGGAATGTGGAAAGAACACATTACGCTCCCCACCGAGAATCTGAAGCATGTAGGGGTAAACTGGTCAATACTTATTTCTGTCATCCAGAACAAACAACTTCTGTATTTAGCAAGGCTCTCATAATAACCGCCTTTGCACAGGAGGTGCTTTGATGCTACAGCTCCGCGCACTGCGCATCTTGAGGAGGGAGAAGTGGAGAGAGCAAGACCAGCTACCTGGCTCCGCAGACTCTCAAGCAACTTGGTCTGTTACAAAGCACACTCTTGAAAGAGGCTGCTTTTTGTTTTCCTAACAACTGGGTAACAAACACGCTGATGAGTGAAAAGACTTAAGGACACCCAGCTGACACTGCAAAACACACCGAGACATCCATCCAGAGGCAGTTCTCGGCTTTGCACAAAGAACAGAACAATTACTATGTACAGGTCAGGTCACACTCACAGCCCATCCAACCAAAGAGTTCACGTCTGACATTGTACACAAACAAGGCTGGACTTTGAAAAGTAATGCTGAAGAAGGCATCCAATAAATTTCACCTGCATTTATATATTTGTCTATAACACTTTATTACAGTGTATTTCTTAAATGTACTATCCACCATTTGAATCTCTTTGATGGGAAGAACATTAAACTCTTTTGCACATGTAGATGTTTGAGCGATCCTTCAAATATTCGTTTCAAAAATGATTTCAAATGGCCAGGTAATGTACATCAGATATTTCAAGGATGATCTCATGATACTATAACATTTTTCTTTCCATCCTTCTGTTAATATGACCTGATACTCTACACACAGTTATCTACTGCAGGTTATTTCTACCCCTGGAAAGCAGGTGCCTGTACCATGTGATGCGAGAGTGATACATTCTCAACTCCATCAATGGGCAATGTGTCATTCTGTGAGAAGAAAACTCAGTCCAAGCACCCTGCTACCCCTAAAATCCCACTAGCTTCAGCAGTACTGAGTGCTGCCTATGAATGCAGACTGCACGAGGACTGTTGACTAGATGTTAATAAAGACGCAACTGTCATATGCTTAGGGTTGGGATGGCCTCAAGTTGTTGACCAAACACCACTTGCAGGACAGTTTACTGAGAAGCTTAAGCTCTTACCAGCTAAAACCATGCTTGTTAGAAGGTGTGTATTTTTCCAGCAGGGCCGTCAGTTTCAGGAGTGAGTATTTCTGCAGTAGGTTCATCTGGGCCACAGACTGGCAGTTAATCTGCAGAGATACAGAGTTTAGGCTCGGCCGATGGAAGCTCTGGAAACTGTGCCATCTCAGTCTGTGCCTGGAAGAGAACAGGGCAAAAGGAGTGAGCACAAAAGTTTGTTAACAGTAAATGCAAAGAGGGCCCTGGGCTGCTTGCTGGCATTTTAGTAAGTGAGAGGAGGACTCAATTGCCATTCCATTTCTATTATCCCTCCGTGGTGAAATGTGCAGTCATTGCTAGGTATGAACAGGGGCTTGGTTCCAGGACACCCTTGGATAACCACATCCACAGATGCTCAAGTCCCTTGTACAGGATGGCAGAGAACCTATGCACATCCTCCTGTTCACTTTCTTCTTGTTGTTAACTGTACTGGGGATTGAACCTATGGCCTTTGCACTGAGCTACATTTCCAACCTATTTTATTTTTAATTTTTGAGACAAGGTCTTGCTAAGCCACTGAATTGCCTAGGCTGGGGTGAAATTTGCGACCTTTGTGCCCCAGCCTCAGGCATATACCACCATGTCTTGCTTCTCTGCTTAAATCATCTCTAGATTACTTATAATACTTAAGACATTGTAAATACTTTGTAGTGGTTTTCCCAAGTATTTTTGATCTGTAGTTGGTTGAATCCATAAATGCAGACACAGCCCATGGATAAGGAGGGCTGGCTGGACATGACATAAAATTTGCCATTTAACCATTTTTACCTACACAGTGTGGCACTAAGTCTTCTCACATGGTTGTGCACCCATAACTACTCTTAACCTCCATTTTTTACCTTACCCAACAGAGAGTCAGTACCCACTAATAAACAGACTTTCTTTGGGAATGTTGGGGTCTTCTGGTATGACATCTTCCTCAGGAATTTACATGATTGTGAATGCCAGTGTCCATTCCATGTCCTCCCACAGGACCAGTGGAAGCCATCCTGTTCTGACCGCCACCCCAAGCCCAGAGGGAAAAGGAGCACGGCTCTCACCTGTTGCACCTGGTCAGGGAGGCCCCCACCCCAGAGTCCCTTCTCTCTGGAATGTCAGCAGGCTCTTCAGGCTCATTCAGGGAGTTGCCTGTGCTGTCCAGGTCACTGGGTGTGACTCGGTCATTGTCTACATCCAGGTGTATCTGTTTGGGAGACGACGGGCAAGGAGAGACAGAGTCTAAGGCTGAGTCGGAGTCTCCTTCATCTGAGAACTTCTCAGACCACTGGTTCACTATGCGCTGCATTCCCTTCACATGGTAGAGGATGTCATCCAGCTCAGGGAAAATGTCCTCATTCTCCAGGTCAGCCAGGTTTCCTGAGCTGGAATAGAGGATGGAGCCTGGCACATTGTCATAGATACTCAGGCGGCTGGTCATGGAGCTTGAGGAATTGCGTCTCTTTATTTCCTTGGGGCTGTCATTGCTGTTTTCCCTCCTTAAGCTGATGTGGCCAGGGCCATGGAAGCTTCCTGTCCTCCAGTTCACAGAGCTGTTGTTCCCTGTGGGACAGAAACTGCTGTTGGAGAGAGCCTTGGGGAAGGTTCCAGGCTTGTGATCCTCAGGGATGTAGAACACCGCGTCCTCTGGGTAGCTCTCTTGGTTCTTAAAGTTCTGCTCTATCACATTGTTAAATGCAGACTGACTGAAAGGATCAAAGCCCTCGAGATACATGCCCACCCGCTTGTTGCATGTGCTGAGGCTGCGAGTCCTGGTGACAGGGCTGGGCGTGCTGACAGCGCTGCTGGTCTCCGACTGGCTGCTGCTACTGCTGGTCTGTGTGGAGTTGGATATGCTTCTCTTTCGTACCATGGGGACATTGATGTGGTTGCCATTAAGGGCTGAGATCTCCACGCAGTTCAGCTGCTTCAGCTTCTCCTCGTCCATCCCTTCTTGCAGAATGGGCCCACTGATGATGAGCCCCAGCTTGGAGGGTGCTTTGTGTTTGCTGTGGTGGGAGCTCTTGAGCTTCAAGCTCTCCATCCGTTTCAGCAGACTCCGTGTCTTGGACTTGGTGCTTTTCTCGTGGCCTTTCATGCTGAAGTTGAAGCTGGACAGTTCCTTGGGAGATGGCAGGCTGCAGAAAGAGTCGTCATTGCCTGTAAAGTGGCTAGAAGAGCAGACGCTGATGACGGAGTTAGTCCGGGGTGTCGCAGCTTCCCCACCGCAGGGCACATGGGTGTGGACACTGCTAGTGCTACTCAGGCTGAGGACAGAAGCCACCTCCTGGCGCTCACTGAGGTCAGTCAGCATGCTCTCACGGCTCATGGCACTGTTCAGGTGGGAATCATCTGGGGACCCTGGGATTGGGTCCTGCTTTGGAGAAAAGACGTCAAATTCTTCAAGCCGGGACCACCTCTTACTGTCCCTCTGGAAAGTCCATTTGCCACTTATTGCACAGGGCTCATCTTCATCTGAATCCTCACTCTGCAAAGACATAACGGAGCCACTCATGGGCTGGGACTGGTGGGCAGCAGGGGCCCAGGGACTCGCTCAGGGGCAGGAGACTGCTCTAAAGATGTCACCAGTATCAATTCCTTTTCTTTATTACTTTTGGTTAAAGTAACCAATATGTAAAGAGTTTAACAAGAGAAAATCTCATGAGGTGTTACAAGCTGATTTAGTTATTTAATGAAAACCCTGAGTGCGCAGGTTGTTCTTTAATTGCTCACAGAGGGAACCTCTAAGATTGGTGAAAATTGCAGGCATGCAAAATATTCTAAACCGGAGCCAGCAACCGTGGACTCTCTCTGCACTACCTTCCGTTTTGCTATCTGTTGAATAGTACGTGTTTCTATTTCCTTTTGCAATTAAAAAGGTAGTTTTCAAACAATAAGAAGAGTAGCAACTTAACGATCTAATTGTCCCCCAAATTTTAAGATCTCATACTAAATTCATGGAGACCACACTAGATAAGCCATCACACATCTCAGGCCAATGCTGTGTCACCTCTTACCTGCCCTTTTGCTTCCCCACTCCGCTGCCAGGGCTTATGCTACCACTATCCCGTGCATTCTTAACCTCAGACAGGCTCCAGGCAATCTGACCAGGCTTCACAAATACCCAGTCCCAACAGCAGTGCCTGATTTATGTGTAGGGCTCAGGAACTTGCTGTCACAGACTGTTGCACGCTGGCCCTTTCAGTAGGATATCAAAGGCACAATTCAATATGATAGTATCTTTGCACTGGGGTAGAAAATATCAGATGGCCCAAGTTTCACAGGACGGTGAGTAGAGAGCATTAAACAGTGACTTGGCGGCTTTTCGGCACACCTCAGTGGATGCTAAGGTTACAGTTCATTTGTTTGAAAAGTTTCACTCCTCAAGGAGGCAACTTACTGCATGTCAAGGACTCTAGGATAATTAAAATGTGTACTCCAAACCCTCAGAAATATGTTCTTTGACAAACTTATTCCTGTTTACTCTAATTTGTGACACTAACTCCCAGTGCTACGCCCACCTCTTCTCCTAAGATCTCATAAAAGGGCCTCACAACTCACATGCAGAAAAAAATACCAGCTAATTCACTGCCACCACTGACTGAAATGTGTGGGGTTTCCCACCCGCCTCACTGCCTCCCCCAATTCCTTTCCTCCCTTCAGATCATTTATGATTCTTCAATATCGCCTTTCATCTTGACAGCTCTGAAATGTAGTTTATTTGGGAAGACTGCAGAGTTCTTAAAGAATGTTAGCTTTACTTTCTCTGGGAGCAATGACTGCAAAAGTCCAGCGAGATTCATTAAGCCTTATCCCTTCATTACATAGTAGGCCTTGAATTAATTAGGAAAAATAATAGATAATTTCTTCAGGTCAGAAACAGTATATAAAACAGTCTACTGACTGGCTGCAAGTCCTGGTTTCAACTACCTAAAATTACACAGCCTTTGGTAAATTTGACTACATTACAGTATTAAAAATGGAAATGCTTTTGGAACAAAAAAGAATAAGAGTTTGGGAAACAAAACCTATTAGAAAACACATAATCTGATATATGATTTGCCTTTTATCCACTCTCTTTCCTATTATATAATTTATATACTCACTCTTTTCCGATGAGGGCTGATTTCTAGTTTCATTACTGCGCATTTGTTTAAAGTATTCAGACGCCTACAGAGCAAAGAAATAACATTAGCAAAGAAAAGAAACCACCAATGGGTAAGTAAATACACTTTCCAAAGATGATATATTTAGTAAGTTTTTTGAACTCATTAATATCAATAATTTAGATGACCATTAGAACTTCCCTTTGTATTTCTAAATATTTTCATTTAAATTTAATTTTTACTATTATATAGCAAAATGGCACACTGTAATGACACTTGTCAGGTGCCTTTACTTCTTCTAATACTTCCCAGGTTGAGCCAGTGGCTAACTGCAATTAGGCAGGTTCTACGTCAGGAAACAAGAGCCTCGCAAGTCACTTTTCATAGAAACAAAAATAAGGAGGAACCATGCAGAGAATGTCAACCTTCTTCCACAACAGTATATTTTATCTCACATCAAAATTTGAATGAAAAAAATATGCTTTAGTTATCTTCAAATAATAACCTCAAAACAGCTTATTAAAATTTTTATTTTCTCATACAGAGAGCAAATTTGATGCTTCTTAATATCCAACTGTTTTTAATAACTTTCTGCCCAGAAGAGAATAATGTTTACTAGGGATGGCAACAGTACATTATTATTTTAAAAATTATTTTATTTTATTTTAAAATGAAATTTTAAAAATTATTTTAAAATTTGCATTATGTATTTAAAAATTTAATTATTGTATTTAATTTAAATTTAAAGTATTGTATTTAAATTTAAAAATTGTATTTAAAAATTTGATTATTTTAAAAATTTGTATTATGTAACATCAATGATTAACAATCTTACAGAACTCAAAAATAAACACTTAGATAAGATTCTTCTTTGGAGCAGTAATCATACTGAAACTTTGAATACCCTTGCTAAACAGTAATGTCAACTTAAAAGTAGGGGAATAGGGCCAGGGTGTAGTAAATATTCCCAGCACTGAAAACAAACACAAACAAACTTAGGCAATAATTTACTATCATAAATAAAATACTCAAAAACTTTGCAGGAAAAATAACAAAACAGCTAAAAAAGACACCCTAAATGCCCATGAAAAACTGTTCTATTTTTTTTTTATCTTTTTGAGACAGGGTCTCACTATACAGTTCAGGCTGGCCTTGAGCTTACTTTGTGGCCCAGGCTGGTCTTGAACTCACAAGGATCTTCTTGCCTCAGCCACCTGAGTGCTGGGGTTACAGGAGCACACACCACACCTGGTGACAAACTGTTCTACGAAAGTGTCCAAGACAGGCTTCTGGCCTCCAAGTCTTTCTAACATCTTCCACGAGGCTAAAACTGAGTCTTCCTCGAATCAGCCTTTAACGGGTCAACCTGCTGCCTCATATGAGTCTTTCGAGCAGTTTTCTAGTTTTCCTAAAATTTTAATTCCTATATTTTTATGAGATAAGAGCATTTAATTCCGTCACACTTGAACTGGTCATGTACTCTCTTCAAGTCCGTGCTTTCCCATTCTGTTCTTGCAACTTGCCTGACAACTCTGATGCACCAGCATAGAAAGTATTTCTGCCTGAGTGATAAGCCTGCCTTTGATTTCATAAATTATGTTGAATCTTATTTATAAAATAAACACAGATAATGCAGGTTGGGTCTGTTGAGAAAAATTCACTGTTGATAGGGAGGGAAGGAAAACAACTGAGAAAAAGCCTGCAGACTTAAAAAATGAGTGGGCATAAGTTCTGTCTCTAAGGGGCATCAATTACTTAAATGACTTACACTCACGGTATTTTAGTTCTCAAATGTGTTCAAGATTTAAAGAATCTGGAATGTTTATAGTCGGTGTTAGGTCTGGGTTGCATTAATCAAACCTGTAATCAAATACCCACTTCACTCTATTTGAGCTTTAATGGTTGAGTGGTGTTTATAACCAAATTTACTAGGCATGGAAGCCTATGGGGCTTGGGGAAGTGGGGTTTACTTCACAAACTCTCGATTTGAGTCCAATAAAAAAGACCCAGGAGACCAGTTTTATAAAGGTCAACTTTATCTTTTCATGTTGGTAGTCCCAAGCTAATGGCATTGGAATTCTGGAGGATACAATTATTCCCTGGGGTTTCTGTGTTTATTTGTTTGTCCCCTGGAACCTCCAGAGAATGCTTACTGGTGGGACCCTATTTACTTACAGAAAGATGGTGCTGACATGAAATAGTAGTTGTAGCTAGAAAATAAGTTGGTCTCAGAAATAGGGTAGAAGAGTGATTACCAGAAGCTGGGAAAGACAGAGAGGAAGAATAGAGGATGGTTATAGGGGTCTTCTTAGAAGAAGAAAAAAGAAAACAAAAGAACAATTTTTCAAGTAGGACTTGACAAAGATTGTTTCAATTCTTAAGGATCTCTTCTTAGGACTAGTACAAATGCCTTTAAAAAAATTATTGGTTAGATAAAGTAAGTTCCAAGTGTTCTATAACATGATAAAGTGAGTAGTTTACATTAATTTATGGAATACTTCAAAATAGCCAGAAGAAAGGATTTTGAATGCTCCCAGTATAAAAAATGATAAATATACGAGGTGATGGATATGTTAATTACCAGCATTTGATCATTACTCCTTTGTATCTATGCATTAAAATATCACACTCTACCCCATAAATATGTACAATTATTATATGTGAATTAAAATTTAAAAAAACAGTTTTAGCTAGATGAACTGGGGCTTGCTCTGAGTGAGCAACTTTATATGTTATTATCTCATCTTAATTTTTACAACAACCCTGTGGTAGAGATATTATGCTTTATCTTCATTTTAAAATGAAGAGGTAGAGGCTTCGAGAGATCTCAAATCTTGTCATGATCACGTGATTAAAACACAGTGGCTGATACCTGAACACAGATTCTTCTATGCTCCTTGTAAAAACAAGTATTAATGATAGCAATTAAGGGGAGCAGCTTATAGCATAAGGATTCTTCAAATAAATGGCTTGGAATAAACAACTGGCCCTCTGGAAGACTTGGTCATCTCCACCCTGGGGGTTTTCACAGGTCTCCCTCCGTTCCCCAGGACTATGTGGTCTTATCTCTTAGGCACATGGCACCCTGCTCTGAAATGTACGGAGCCCAGCGTGAGCCATCAAAGGCCTTCACTGCACAGAGCACAGCAGGCAGGACTTTTATTCAAAATAAAAACAAGGGAAAGCATAAAAGAAGAAAGAGAAAGGAAACAAAAATAACTTTCTAAATTGGAACTGACAAATAAAAATCATTCCAATTTTTACAGATATTTTCTTGGAACTGGTACACATGCCTTAAAATATTGCCCGCTTCCTTTTAAACAGAACAGGAATGCTAACAAGGTGAAAATCTACTCTAGGAAGGCTCCTTAACATAGGTTAGGCATTTCAAGGGCTGATTTATTTATGTATTTGTTTGTTTGCTTATAGTTCTAGGGATTGAACCCAGGGCCGTCCCACTGAGCTATGTCACCAGCCCTTCTTATTTATTTTGAGCCAGAGCATTTTAAATTTCCCAGGCAGGACTTGAACTTGCAGTCTTCCTACTTTGGCCTCTCAGAACATTGGGATTATAAGCACGGACCACCACACCTAGCTCAAGGGCTGTTTGAAAACAAAATGCACACCAAACATGACAGTGTGGATATCTACTTTTCATTTTACATGATGTTCATAATTCTTTATTGTATTTATAGGAGTCAGTTTTAATTCCAAAAAAAATAGCAATTTGGAACATTCTGAAGCTATAAGAAGACATTTCACAAGGGGTAGCCTAGTAGTAGGTCACAGTTCACAACATCTGCATATGCTTCAAGACAAACTAATCCATTCTCCATATGCTGAGTATATATCTCTCATAATTGTGTCAATCACAGGGTTAAATCATTCAGGAAGGCTAGTAAGACTTGAGCAAAGGGCAACTTCTTCAAAGAAAAAATAAACACTTTATAGTGCGAGTACAAGAATGTTGGTTGGCAATCAAAATCCCCCAAATCTAGGGGTCTCAAAATTGTAACTTCCTTCCTTCCTTCCTTCCTTCCTTCCTTCCTTCCTTCCTTCCTTCCTTTCTTCTTCCTTCCTTCCTTTCTTCCTTCCATCCTTTCTTCCTTCTTTTCTTCCTTCCTTTCTTCCTTCCTATCTCCCTCCCTCCCTCTCTCTCTCTCTCTCTCTCCTCTCTCTCTTTGGTACTGAGGACTGAATTCAAAACCTTGCACATGCTAGGCAAACATTCTGCCATGGAGCTATATCACCAGCCTTATAATTATAATGTTTGGACATTATCAAACTTTAAATTTTAAACAGTATCATTGTTCTCCAAGAAACTCAATTATGTTTACAAGACTTATGACCTGAGTAGAAAATTTTAAGAGACTGGCTCCTTCCCGTGTTGTGATCAAGAGTTATATGCCTTGCAAATGCTGTAAGAACACAAATTTTAAGAAAACAGAACACTACTGTATTCCTAGGACCATTTCTACCACCCACACATAAAAATATGGTCCAACACAAAGGAAGAGGAGTAGTGGGGAGGTGAAGTCCTAAAATGTTGTGAAGCCCTTAAACAGAGTTTCTGCAGCCATAGTAGCATATGTATTTTAAATCACCCTTTCAAAATAGTTCAGCAATGCAAAAGATAGATTTCTACAAAAAGTCTTTCAATCCAGAGACAGTTTCACAAATTACAAGGTGAACTTTCCAACCATATTACAGCTATATTATTTGCTGGCCTGGGAATGGTATAGGCCGAGAAGGCATTTAGAAGAGGCAGGTCTAGCAAATGAGGTGAGTATCACGTAATCAGCAAAGTAAGGATCCCAACTACACTCTGGACAGTTCAGACCTTGTAGTGCATTTCAGAGGAGGGTCTCAGCTTCCATCTTTTTCTACCTGAACATTTGTCAAGGCTTCTCAAAAGGGGAATCAGGGCTGGGGATATAGCTCAGCATTAAAAGCGCCTGCCTGGCAAGCACAAGGTTCTGAGTTTGATTCTTAGTACAAAAAAAAAAAAAAAAATTAAAAAACAAAAACAAAAAAAACTTGAGAGAATCAAAAGGGGAATCATTTCCATGTAGTCTTATTTCTATGAACATGCATTTCCCCCTACAAACAAGTGGATGACTGTTTCTATGAATTCTCAAGAATTTCTTTTTGAAAAGGAAAATGCAATCAAATGTAGGCCCGATAATTTAATTTTTGAAGTACCTGACACCCATCAATCCAGATTGATAATTTAATTTTTGAAGTACCTGACACCCATCAGTGCATTCCTTCTCACAGCTCACCTGTGGCATGTTATTCTACATACCAGAAAATCAAAGCCTAACCAGGAAGTGTGGCAGTCTGGATTCCCATCAACGACCAGTTTCTTTTAGGCTTTCCTTTCACAAAGGATTTAGGAATACAGATTCATTTTCTTTTATAGTAGGGGATTTCTCCTGTCCTACTTATAGCCTATGTAAAGTACAAAACAGATGCCCTTTCCTTCATAAAAAGAAAAGTACCTAAAAAAAAAAAAAAAAAACAAACCTCCACAAACAACACATTGAGTATCTACACAACACTTCATTCCTTATCAAGTTCCTTGGGAGAACCAAGTCATTTAAAACAATTCTCTAACATACAAAAAGAAGTAGTTAAGACTTAAATTATGGTTCTTGGGTCCAAAATATTGCTGACCCAGAAATGTTATGACCCAGAAATTCCTAAACTGTTGATGCTGCTCAGAGGGTCCACTCCCTAAGTGGCTTAAAATGTGTGAAACGGATGATGTGACACATGCTTAAATATTTCCTAAGATGCATTTTTGAGTGATCTCATTCATATGTATTATCACCAGTAATGAACTGAAAATAAATTAATTCTGCCCCATAGCTAAGTGGGAAAACATTTTAACAATGTCTGGAGTAGTTTATATTCCAGATGCAGACTTCTTTCCCTCTCCAAACTGCACTGGTGATATTTTTTCACTCCACATGACATAACTATGATATTACATAACTCCAGGCATAGGACTTGGAATTAGCTTTCTTCCAGAAAACATGTGCATTTAGTTCTGCTTGAAAGGTTGACAGTGTTTCAGTGGTTAATATGGCATTTTTTCTTTCTTAAACCATGAGAACTAGTCTTTTCTATGTAACATTCTAAACACCCTACCATTCTCCTAAACTACTACTTAAGTTGGCTGCTTCAAATAACACTGCGCTATGTAAGAAAAATAATAATTTACTCTCACATAGCTACCACTGAGAGAAATACTGGATACTGTTCTATCCTCATAATAATTTTTGAAGTTAAAATAAATATTGAAATTAAAGGAGAGTTTATTTTAAATGTACAATCAAATCAACATGTGAACTTTATTTACATGTAATTTTTTGTCCGGAATTCAGCTGTTAGGGCTTTTAGGTTTGGGGGAAAATTATGCAGGATGAATAATCTAGGATGAATAAAACTGTCCTGAAGGGTTTGAAAGGAAAATCATTGCCCCATCATCGCCCATCTTAGATTTTATTGTTTCTGCTTCACTAAAACTTCCAAGCTGCTCCTCAGCCTCAAGTGCCACCAGTACAGTGAACAAGGGCCTCTGACAGTTTTATTCACATTCACATCAATGCTCATTTACTGCCTGTCTCCTATATGTTAAAGACCATGCTGAGTTGTTTTATAGCCTATTTAATCCCCGAGTCACTACGGTAGAGCTGGAGCAGTCAGAGGGGCTTGAGGCACTTTCCTGGACCTCCAATGGTAGTCTCGACTCCACTATGCCACGAACCTTGACCCACTCTTTGTTACTCTGAGCGTGTTATTTCCACTCAATATAACAGCAGCTTTGTCTTTGTTAGGGCGCCTGCTTGGGGCCACCAAGTCAATTAATGTAATGTCACTCACATTATCTCTTAAAAGCATCCCATTCCAAGTTTCCAAACCACTGAAGTCAAAATACAGTACTATTATCAAAATATGGAGCGGTACTATTTGACTGCCTTTGAAGAGAATGTGGAGATGGTATTTTAATGGAAATAACATATAGCATTTTCCTTCATTTTAATTAAAAGGACAATAGTTCACAGCAAACTAAATCACTACTCTTTGCCAATTGAAGACTGGACTCAATTGAAACAAAAGAAATCAAACCCTAGTGATTGACGAGTACTGCATTTTTAGATTCAGTAATAAAATTGAAAATTCTCAAAACATGTCCGCTTACCTGCATAAGGCCTCAATGGCATCTCTGTCTAAAAAGTCATGCTCTCTCTTGACCAAGGTGATATCAATGGGGAACAGGAGGTCTGTAAGAAAATCAAAACAAACCTATTTACCGAATAGCTAGGTTCTTGCTGAACTGAGCTGGGGAGAAAAATTCCCAAAACAACATACTGAGTATCTACAGAACACTTCATTCCTTATCAGTTCCCGGGGAGAACAAAGTTCTTCCAGACAATTCTCTGTCAGTACCTAAAACAGCTCTAAAAACGTCTGGAAACTCAAGTCTTGCTTCTTATCAAAGAGACCTGGCTCAAAACACTGTTCCACCTTTTAAAAAGCTAGCAGGCAATAATTCCCTGCTATAAATGATAATCAAAGCCAGAATAAGTGGAATAAGGATTCCTGTCATACAGTGTGGTTTTTTTTTAATGCATGTGTTTGCTCATATGTAATCCGAGAAGAGGCCATGAAAATAAAATACAACAGAACAAAACAAAACAAAACAAAACAAAACAAAACAACTGGTCCAGGGAAAGATCTAGAAAACAGCAGCCAGGGATAGTCAGTGGGACTAATCCATTTGTATGATATCAAGAGAGAATTGGAAATATGTTATTTTAAAACAAATATTAGTAGTTCAATATGGCTTCTTGGGGAGGTTCTATAACTCCCTCTGAAACAAAGTTATAAAGTTACTGTAGAATAACAGAACCCCTAAATCCTTTCATTTGTAGAAAAGTTCAATTCTCTCAGGACAAAGAAGAACAGGTATGAGACTAAAAAGTGGAAAGTAATAGAAAAATTTCTCTCCCTTCTAGAAAGTACAACAGTGGTTACTAGAGCCTGAGAAGGAGTGTAAGATAAAGGATGACTAAGGGGGTACTGGGGGTGTAGCTGGAGAGAAGGGATAAGCTCTTAGCACAGTAGGGTGACTATGTTTGACAATAATTAATTGTATATTTCAAAAAAGCTACTAGAGAGAATTCTGAATGATCCCAATACAAAGAAATGGTAACTACCCTGGGTTGACTGATATGCCTGTTACCCTGTTCTTATCACTATATGCTACATACAGGTACCAAAGCATTACACTGTGCCCCTTAAATACGTATGATTACTACCTGTCAGTACAAAATGTGCATCTTGGGCTGCAGGGTTTGAAACAAAAATTTAATAGAAAAAAAAAAAATGATCCCTTGTAGACAAATACATCCAAGACCAGCATGGAGGAGACAGACCACTGTGGAAATGTGCAGCAGCCCTGAAATTGGTCTAGATACCAGCCAGCTATTACCTTCTTTGGAGTTTAGCTATCAGGGTAAATCACAGGCTTTCCCAGCAGAACATGTATACTATCATGAGTCTGTGCAACACCACGGGTCAGGAATGGGCCAAAAGTCATCCCAGCAGGGTTACCATCTTCTAAACAATCTCTTTGGCTTTCCAAGTAGCTCATGCTGCACACTGGAATAGACTAGGCTATTGATAATTTGGGAGTTGTGGGTAACTAGCAACGTTTTATTTCCTGAGTAGAAAATGTGGGGCTCTTGTTAGTTTTTAATTTATAATCACTAGTTTATACGGAAAGGTATGCCATACCTTATTTCTAGTAATCCATTTCTTAGGGATAATACTTGAGAGCAATAGTGTCTAACTTGTGACCACTGGTTTTACTGAGTTGTATGGAACATCTTATTTCTAGTGTTGCATTTCTTAGGAAAAATGCTCAGAATATCTTTATAAAAACACTGTTAAAAGCTATCATAATAAGTGTTCATTTACTATCACTTCTTTTTTTTTTTCTGAAGGCAAGGGCTGGATTACTGATATTGTTCTCTGACTGATAACACTGGCAGACCAATGGAATAACTACAGCTCAAATACTGATGAAGAATATATGGAATTCAGTACCACAGGATTATATTTCTTTAAGCATGTATAGATTAAGTCTCTCTTCGGCAAATGAGTAGTGGCTATGTCACAGTGGAACTACAAGAGGAGGCTTATGGGAGAATGTAGCTATTCATACGTGGGAACCAGACAATATATTCTGATCAAGAAGTGACATATAATTGTATTAATAGAGCTAACACTAACGAACAGGTTAATGCTTAAAGAGTATAACATCAAATCTATAAATGTGAATTAAAGAGTTCATATGCCCGGTAAGTATATGTGAGAAAGCAACTGTGTTATTTTAGCAATTTCTAACTTGGTGTACCCAGGGCTGTATTTTGGATTACTTTCCTGACTCAAGTTAACTATAATTCTGTATTTTTTTTTAAACAAATCTGGTAGTGACTAAATGAGAATTTAATCAATAGTTTTCTTTGCTTACACTCTTTTCTGAAAGAACTGCTTTCTAAAAGATGATAGTTTGCTGATGCAGAGAAGTTTTCTGAGACCAACTTCCAGCTTGAGTTTAAAGGCAGGAAGTATAAAACTGCGAAGTACCAAAATAACCCTGAACAGGAAGACAAGGAATGCGAGTCGGTGTGTGGTGTGGATGTGCTCACCCTGTGCACAGGGGGCAGGATGAAAGAGGGAAAACGATAGCACACAACAATGTGGGGTGCACCTCAAAAGTGCGCTGGTGCTTCAAAGAACTTAGAAGCATGATGGGACCACAACATGTCATGTGTGAAGACCAGTCTGCACCCCAGGATTGTGAAAGAAGGCAGACAAACTGGAACTGGGTCTTAGCAAACAGACTCATCACAAGAAGGTGCCACTTGGCTGAAAATCAACACCAAGAATGGACATAATTGAAGGAAATTTAATTTTTAAACACGAGAACAAAAGGACAGCCACTTTTGAGCTGCTGCAAATGCAATTATCTTTCTCTGTCTCCAGAAGTGCTGTGAAATGGAAATCTAATTAAAAGCTGTTGCCTCTCTACTGACAGCCAAAGCCATTTAACAGGTCAAAAATTCTCTCTAAAGGAAAGATAAGCAACTCCATCATAGTAAGTGTGGTATTAACCCAATAACTCTAAAGAAGAAAAAGAAATTGGAGTGAATTATTTTTTAAGAGTCTAACAATAAATTCAGAATACATCTTCACACAAAAATTTCATGCAGTCCATTTGGACATTCAGGGGTAAGCCTGGTACTATAAATTGGAGGTCCCTATTCACCCAGTGTTGCTTGAAAATTATACCTAAAATAGGACTCAATAATTCAAAAATAGTCCTGCAGTTTTTCTGGTCTTTTTTTCCCTCTATTTTGTTTTTTGGTGGTGGGATTTGAACTCAGGGCCTCACGCTTGCCAGACAGACACTGTGCTGCTGAACTACATCCCTGGCCCCATAGAATGATTTCTGAATGATTTCATGAAGACTATCACAGAACTCCCATTTAAATGAATAGCTTATCTATCTCAACATGCACAGAGCCCAGGCTAACTGCCTGGGTGCCCAGCTCAGAAAAGCAGCCAGGCATGAATGCTCATCACCCTCTAGCCTTAGCATCCCAGTGACCCTCACACTGCTAATGAGAAGATTACACAGAAGAAATTTATTTCAGACACTGATTTAAGGAAAAAAGGTTCATCTTCCCCTAACCAAAAAGATTAAGTGACACAGGAAAAAAAAGAAAACACTGATGAAGAGACATTATAAAAAGGGGAGCACAATGACAAGCCAAGGGAAAGTTATCTGCAACTCATGACCCCACAGAGGGCTTCTACAAATTATTTAGAAAAGCACAATCCATTTGAGAGAACAACAGGACTGAGCTATGTCACAGAGGAGCAAAAGTCTGACAATATCAATATATTATTGGTAGGAGTGAAAACCAGTACTGACACTTTAGAAAGGTTTATGCTATGAAAGTGTACATATTCTTTATCACTCAGTAGCTCTCTCCTCCAGTACATACATAAGTTATTCTACATATACAGCAGGAGATAGGTACCAAAATGTTCAAAACAGCAGTTTATTTGTGTGTGTGTGTGTGTGTGTGTGTGTTAGGAATTGTACCTAGGACCTTTGCACTAAGCTGCATCCCCAGCCCTTTAAAAAAAAATCTTTTTTGTTTTCTAAATTATTTTGAGATAAGGTCTTCTTAAGTACTAAAAGCTAGGCTTGAACTTGCAGAATTTATAAAAGCAAAACTAAAATGCCCACACATGAGAATATGGACAGGATTACGGTTTAGATCCATGACATCCCCCAAAGCCTCTTATGCTCACAGCTGGGCTTTGGGGTGGTGACTGGACCGTGGGTGTGCACATCCATCACTGGGCTTACCCACTGAAGAGTTCAGAGCTCCGTGTGATGTTGGGAGGTGAAACCTGGTGGGAGAGGTGGATCACTGGGTACATGGCCTGGAAGAGGATATATTCCTCTTCCTCTCCCGATCTCCCTCTGCTTCCTGACTGTTGTGCAATGAACTATTTCTCTTCTGGATAGCCCCTCTGCCATACCACCCTGCCTTGGAACCATATTGGAAGTGAATATGGATTGAAACCTCTACAAACTGTGAAATGAAATAAACCTCTCCTTATGGTATAGGTGTCAAATATTGTGTCTCAGCAACAAGAAAACTAAGACAGAGAGGAATACATTGTGGTCATGTATTCACAGGATGGAAATATTATATAGCAGTTAAAGCAAATGAACTATAGGGACACTCAACTGAGAAAAATATTAATATAATATTAGGTGAAAAAAGTAAATGCCACAAGATTACATACATCATAATATTCCTTTCATTAAGGTAAAGACAACTTTATCAAAATGTACTTTTCAGGATATACAGGAAAACAATATAAAAGGGAAGCAAGAAAATGACAGGGGTTTCAGAACGCTGGCAATTCTTGGGAGCAGGACAGAGCAGGAGCACAAATGGGGTGTTATTACCACAGTCACAGCCACTGTTCTGAGAGGTGGGGGTCTCAGGTGCTCATCACGTTACGTTTCTAAGTGAAATACTTAACTATTAAAAAATAATTGTAATGTCTGGAAATAAATCATGGATCAATAAATAATCATGAACCATGTATCAAAGATAATGATTACATTAATTGAAAGAAAAATGGCATTCCTGGCTTACCTTCATAAAGCTGTGCGTACTGGGGAAAACCAGTTGCTCGCAACCAATCACAAGCTTCCTTCGCTTCAATTTCTAGAACAGTGCAGAAGAAAGATAAAACTGTTAGCTGTATGTACCTCAGCATGCTTCTGTTTTTCTGAATAAATTGACTTCACTGTATCACATAAGCAAAGCGTGGCTTCTGTAGAAAATACAGATAAGCAAATATAAAAAACCTCATGTAATTCAGACAGTTTAAATCCTTATGCATATTTCTGGACTTTTTTCAAGTGTATATGACTATCTTCACTTTACTTTTTAATTGTTTTTATTATTTATTTATTTATTTTGGTCTTTTTAAGACAGGGTCTTGCTATGGAGTTCAGGCTGGCCTTGAGCTCACTTTCTAGCCCAGGCTGGTCTCGAACTCTCAGCGATTCTCCTGTCTCAGCCTCCCAAGTGCTGGGATTACAGGTGTGCAACACCATGCCCAGCAGTATCTTCACTTTAAAGAAAACACAGAAATGAGGTCTGAGCAATCAGCTAGCCTGCTGCTTCTCATGTGTTCAGGTTACAAATAATTATTAAAATCATGGCATAATGAGGAAGTTGAAGAGGGATTCAACAACTAATTTTAAGTCTGGCTGGCCCAACTGGATTTATTACATCTGGTACCCGAGAGAACTTCCATGGGTCCCCAAAAAGACTCTATGGCCCTGATGGGCTGGCCATTTTATTTCCATTTATTTATTCATTTCTTTTCTGCAGTTCTGGGGATTGAACCCAGAGCCTTTGCATTGACCTATATCTCCAACCCTTTTAAAATGTTGAGATAGGGTCTTGAGCAGTTAAGTTGCCTGAGCTGTAATCCTTCCTGCTTCCACCTCAGTTTTAAAGTGTCCAGATGTTGGGATGTGCCTCAGTGCAGGACCTTAATTCTGCAAGAGAAAGTCCCAGGCTTTCAGAGACCGGGGGGAATGAAGTCACTAAGCCCTACAGTCTTGGCAGGCTGAAATGCCTAATAAAGCTCCTGCTTCTCTGTGGTTGAACATCTTGTAGATAGTATTGATAAACAGAACGGCCAAATGTAACTGACATACAGTGTTAAAACTCACTCAAGCATACATTTACACTCTCGTTAAAACTGACTCACAGAGGATTTTTGGACACATTAATTAGGTTTTCTGTTTGCACGAAGAATATTCCTTTCACCTCCTCTTCCTACCCTCCTCAGGCCATGAAAGTACTTAGTTACCTAAGGCTATTCCCTTCTTCATAAGCATCTCAACAGTGTTTAAAAATTCCTAGATTAAAATCTTTACTAAGCATCTCTCCTCAGAGCTAGATGTGAGGCCAATGGTCAGTATTAGGAAAAATATATAGAACTGATTTTTGTCTAGTAACTTTATGGTTTCAAAGCAACAGTTTCCACCTAGTATTTCATGAGTGCATTCGCTTTTCAAGAAGGGTAGTTAAGAAATTCAAGTTCATTAAAGTAGGTAGGAATGTCCTTATTGAGCACCCCAAAGAGAAAAACAACACCTGAATTTCCAAGCTAGTTAATACCCAGGCTAAGAACAATTAAGGCCTTGGAGTTGAATTCAAAGGCACAGACAAGTTTTACTTTCCTGAGTCTTTGCAGTGAAGAGATGAAATAGTATTACTGCACATAAGATTGGGACCGCATGGGGGGGGGGTCGGGGGGGGAAGGATGGTGGGCATAAAAGTGGGGCAAGTCCAATGTTTGCGCTGAATAGAACAGACAGAACTTGCCCCTGTGAATTACTAGAACTGAACAGTTTTTTCACATATTTATAGCCATACCTTATCTCCATAAGGAATTCAGGAAGTTTAAAATAAAATTATAAGAGAAATACTGTCTAGAAAAACTGTACTTCCGGGGAAAAAACATAAAAGCTCAATATTTTATTTTAAAGAAGGAAAAAATTACTCTTTCTGCTATTTCCATGTCCTTTCTCTACTCTTGAAGATACACAGAAAGAAAAAAATGCTGTTTTCGATAATATTTTAAATAAGTTGCTGTTTTTAGGTCCTTACAAGTCATTGAACAGATTGTTAGACCCTGAAGGATAAAAGATAAAGATGCTTGTGTTCTTCACATTTTACTTCGTAAGCTGTAAACTGTAATTCTCAGTGTCCACCCTCTATTGACTATATCTAGACGGGACATGAGGGCGGCCCACATACAAACGCCTTCATGAGACACCAGTTCACCAGCTGATTTTACCACCTATTTCAAGCATGTTCCTGAGTTTCTTATTAAGATGATTTCATATTAAGAGGCATGAAAGATGTAAGATACTGTTCTAAAAAACTTTTACATCTATTAATATAATTCTTTACAAATTACAAAGCATTTTTACCTGTATTACTCAAATTCCCACATAATTTCAGGAACACACAAATGCCATGATCTCTTCTCATCCTTATTTTCTACCACTAAAAAAATGAAAAGCTCTCACGTAACCAAAAGTTGATCTAGTTCAAATGAAATAGTCACTCCTCATGCCACTTGCTTGGAAAGAACTGTGAATGGACACAGGTTTGCTTCTTCAGCAGATGATTTCACTAAAAGCTCATATAATGGCTAAAATGTAGTATTTTCAAGAACCACAGAGACCAGGTAAGTTGATCCTTTTTTTCTTCATCTTGTCTCTTAGATGAGAATGCTCGCCTCTTAGATATAAAACAACAGGATGTAAACAAACACTACTAATGTTGCTAACGTTCACACATCAGTCTGCTTTATTAACAAATGAGAATTTAACTCACTCGGTAGAAATGAGAATTAGAAAACTGTAAAAAGTTGTCACAGATTTTTTTTTTTTAATGGAACACTTGTAGATCTTACTCTTGCCCATATATTATATTTACAATGAAATAAACCTAGATCTACATCCCAGGCAGCTAGGGAACAGCTTTCCAGGTTCGCTTCCTTCCCAAATCATGAAAATTATGATTTGGGTTTTTTTCACTCTTCTCACTGAAACCTGGGCTGGTTCACTAACCTCTTGAGCTTCTCTCCCTCACAAGCTTTCGAGAGTCAGATCTGAACACCTCTGCATGGTTTCCCAGGCTCCCCACATGGCTGTCAACCTAACTTTTCAGTTTTCTGTACTCCATTCTCCCAGCCAAAGTAAACTTGGTGCTCAACCTCACGCACACCCTGTGACTTCCCCAGCCTGAGATGTCCTCCCACCCTTCAAGCTTAAATTTCACTTATCCTAAGGTTCAACCCAAATGTTCCAACCCAAGGTCCTGTCTAAATACTGAATGTATAGTCATTCATTTTCTACTCAGACTGACTAATCCTGAAATGTGGGGCACTTATATCATCCACAGGACAAAAAGAGGCTAACAAGGCAGAGAAATGACTATCTCTCCTTAGAAATGACCTTCCTAACATTCAAATGCCACAGTGGGCAAGGGGATAAAAACCTACAGAACCACATTTCTTCATGCAGGACAAGTTCTTCCCTTAAAAAATATGTAGCAATGAACAAAGTTTAAAATAGTAAAGAAACTATATACCTATTGCTTCAGTCATCTTAAGATCTCCCCCAGGCTCATTTTGGAGATATCTAATTGGTTCTGTTCAGAGGCATAATTTTTGCTGGAGTATATGTAGATGGTGGCATAAAAATTATGAGGGTGATTAAAAAAACTATTCTACACTGGGCAGAAATGCCATTAGAAATTAAAAGTATAATGGAAATACAATGAAACTTTTATATGTGAGTTTTCTCCGAGCATGCAACACACAAATGTATTAAGGAGGAAACAGGAAATTTTTATTGGAAACTGCTTTAGTCTTTGGTTCTTTCACAAAGCAGTTCTGCATATAGATGCATAAGGGCTGGGTGGGAGACCCTTTGGTGTGTGGTTGGGAGCCAACAGGTTGTAGCTGCACGTTCCCTCACACAGTGAGATGCCCCTGTCTTCCCATTACTCCTCAACACTAAGTCTGCAGCCATCCCCAAGCCTGTCATCACTCTGCTGAACTTCAGTGATGCAAGCTCGCTAAGCAGCAGCTATGGGTCTGAGTAGAACAGGATGTTTCCAACTGCTGGCTGCTCTACCTTCACACAAGAACTCTCCAATTTCTTCCCTTCTTCCCAATATGCCACCAAAATCAGGGCTCATGCAGACGTGATGCTGAATGTTTCTTAACTGCAAAACTCTAAGGAATTAGAGGAATGTTACAAAAATTCAAGTATATACCCTCCATTCCTTGGGCTTCCTCTTGTGAGCAAAATGGATGCTTCCACCACGACAGAGTCACTTTGGCTCTGGGTGGGTAGGTGGTACTTTCTGAACCAAACCAACATTCATTCCTGCCCCTGAGTGACCCAGATTCCTTCAAACATTAAGATTCTACTTATCAGTCCTCCTGTCTTTTTCAAGGTAGTACACTTCATTCAGCCAGCCCCAACAAGATGGCTTTAACAATAGAGCATCTTTACCTGGTGGGCAGCTTGCCTGGAGAGGCAACCATGGCCTTGAACACTTGGAGAAAGGCAAAGGGATCTCAGTGACTCTCAGCCCTGGAGGGTGAGACTCTATCTTGGGAGGCTTTCTAAAAAATGCTAACAACCTCCCTCTCTCAGAAATCCTGATTTACTTAGGACAGGGAGGGTCTAGCTATTATTTTATTCATGACCTAAATATGTTTAAGCACAGTCAGTATTGAGAACTCAGAGAGCCAGACAACATTTCTCGTATTCCTGTGTCCTTTGTTCTCTTTTTCTGGATTATCCTAACAGCCTTTTAACTGAACCCCCTGATAAGCCCTGCTCCCCAACCCCAACAAGCCTGACCTGGTCCAAGGGGATCCCTGAACCACCGCACCAGTTTTTATTTCATTATATCATTCCTTGCTTGTAATTCTTCAAGGTAGTACACTTCATTCAGCCAGCCCCAACAAGATGATTTTCTACTGACTACATACAATCTTAACTCCCCAGAAAAGTCTCAGAGCCTTCATAACTTAGCTTCTTCCTGTCCCTGCTACTCCTGGGAGGTCTCTGAATGGGGACACTCAGAGTTCCCAGGACAGCCAGGACTCTCAGACT